ATTTTGCGATACGCGTAGCCCCTATTTGGACATTATTGAGTTGATATGAGCCTATCAGATCAGATAAATGTTTGAAATGAGTTGAGGTAGGGTCCAAAGAATCTACATTAAAACATTATGAGATTTGGCAGTAACAATCGAAGCAGCGAGAATACTAGTAGCGGTAAGATGAGGAGAATTATCTTGATTGGCATCAATAATTTCCACAGAAGTAGTTGTGGATGAAGTAGCACCACTTCCCCCCACAGCAGGATTTTTATCGAAATGTAGAAGAGTATGATGACTACGCGAAGAACATTTTTTACAACAAGCAGTCGATCGGCATTCATTCAAATCATGTGATCTACTCAAACAATTGAAGCATAGATGTTTGTTTTTACAAAAGTTATAACGCTCAGAAGATAAGATAAGATAAGAGCCGAAACCAGTCATAAATTCAACTGGTGGCATCATTTCAACAACAAATGTTGCTTTCAAGTGCTTGGGAGATAGTTAATTATAATAGAGGATTAGAAATATGCTTCTTGAATTGCACCGATACACATATGGCATTCCATTTAAATTAAAGTTACTCGAACGATGGAGAATTAATCGTTTCACGACGCCAAAAAAATGCTGAAAATAAAACTGCTAAAGATCATAGGGCATGCGCAAATTGTAGAGGTTTTTTTTCAAAACTAATATTGAGAGTTCATTTCAAATCTTGTACAGGAATAAATAGCCAACACCATAGGATGGCCACTTTACTGAGCAGAAAAGTCGCTGGTAGAATTCACCCGAAAGCTTCCAAAGTTGTTAAAAATTATTTATTTCCTCAACTGCGTGATAATGATTTATCAAGGACTATCAGATATGACGAACTCATGATTATTTATGCGAACAAAATGGTTCAGAAGTATCGAGAATCAAGACATTTTCAGATGATTCGTCAGAGGTTACGATTACTTGGTAAATTGTAAATCACGATAAAAGAGACGAATAATGAGATCTCACGTCTATTTATGATCCGAAATATGTGGATGCCAAATACACCGAAAGTGAGAATAGTTATCAAGCACCGTCAGTAGCCTTCAGTTTGGGTACATTATTGAAACAAATTGGAAATATTTTGATTACTCAGAGCATAAAGGATCATAATGATTCCGCTAAGAAGAATGCTGAAGACTTCTTGACAGTATTCTCCCAGGAGGTGAATATAAACGTTAATAGAACCGTTGCAGAAACGTAACTGCAGATGCAGAGAAGGAAAAATATAATTCTGCATTCCATGGAAGATATCAGAAAGTTGCGAGATTATTTGACCACTGAAAATAATCTCGCAATGGATCGTGTCAAACAGATAATCTCTCCTGGTTGAAACTGGCAGAACTTACACCAACATCCATCCAATTATTCAACAGGCGTAGAGCGGGCGAAGTTGAGAGGATAACAATTGAAGATTTTGGAACACATCAAACAATTGAAAAAAGTAACTCTGATATATTTGAGTCGCTATAAAACATATCTAAGCAAATAGCTAGAAAATGTATAAGATTTACAATAAGAGGGAAGTTAAATCGTACGGTTCCACTACTTTTGGACATAAATTTGTTGGAATGTGTGGAATTAGTGATTAAACATAGAACTGAAATTGGAGTTTCGAAATATAATCCTTACATTTTTGTGAAACCAGGAGGTGATAAAAAACAATACCCTCATCTTCAAGCTTGCCATTTAATGCGCAAATTTTCCAAATGTTGTGGGGCTGAACATCCAGAAAGGCTACGAGGAACTCATTTACGGAAACATATTGCCACTACCAAATTTAGAAGCTCAAGATATCTCTGACCTGTCTAACTTTATGAGACACTCACAAAATATCCATAAAAGAATTTATAGGCAGCCGATTGTTAGCAGATAAATTTTAGGCATTTCAAAACTATTGGAGGCAGCTCAGGGAACTCAGGGAATTGAAGCAGCAGATGATAGCGATAACAGTAATTCCAGTGATGAAGAAGAATGTAGAGAGGACTACGAATATAAAAAGCCCGCAAAATGCAGTTTCAGTAGAACGCCTCAAGGTCCATCTGAGTATTAGACTAGCACCAAAAACAAAATAAGTACGTTTGTTCTGCTCAGGCCTTTCATCTAATTCCGACCTTCATTTTGAATTTTTTTATCAGGATATCGTATCAGTTGGGTGTATTTGTGGTGAGAGCAAATGCATAACGCCTCAGGCACCCCGCGGCAAGACCCATGGTTTTGTTATGTTTTTCAATGCAGGCACTTTAGCGGCAAATTGTACTAATTAGAAGTGCGTGGTTATGATGTTTTGAATAGCTGATTTTTTTAGGAAAAAAACGGTTGAATTGATATAAATTTTACTTAACGAAAATTTTCCGTTAATTCTTTGAAAATTCCTTATTATTCAATAAGAATTTTAATTTCCTAGATAACGTTTCATGAGCCTGTCCCATTCTGGTTTGAAGTATTTTATACAGAAAGTTTCTGACGGAAAAAATAATTAAAACTTGTTTTCGAATTACTAAAAGCTCAACACGAATGAGTTCTGGATAGTTGACGGATCTTGTGATTGGAGAACTATGAAAATATACACCCGGCTTCGGAAGTATTGGCTACTGAATATCTCAGTTAATGTATGAGGTAGGCTTCCGAAATTTGGAGCATCTATATAATGACAAGAATTGAAGCATATTGACTGACCTACGTGTTATTTGAATATAACTGGAGTTCTCTCTCAACACCAAACCGTTGTTTTTAACACCTCGACACGTGTTTCAATCACCAAGTGACCATCTTCAAGAGGAAGATTAAGCTTAGTTTAATATTCCTCTAAAAGATGATCACTTGGTGATTGAAACACGTGTCCAGGTGTTGAGTGTTAAAAATAATGGTTTGGTGTTGGGATAGGACTCCAGTATAATATTCATTACTACACGAAAGATTCCAAACAGTGCATAACAAGTACGTCTTATTTATTATTGCACATTATTTTTAATCTTATTTTACGTATGGCGATGAATCTGTTTCTTGTTATTCGAAGAATAATAATTGGAGTTTTTGATATTCCATTTAAAAAAATTACTTTTTATTATATCACTAGAATGATTTTACTGAATAGTACATGCAAGAAAGAGTAGTAGTATGTTCCTAATTCAGTTTTGGACTTACAGAGTATCGATTTTTTTTCCAATTCTTCCAATCTTCATTTTTGACGGCTTCAAATTAAATATAACAGTAGAAGCAAGTGTTTTTAAGTGACGTACGGTTTCCGTGGCCAACTAATCAATTTTTGGGGTTCATTTTGCTTCCACAGCCCGCTCAGTGAAATTCAATGATTATTTTTTCTTAATGATTTCCTACCACGTTTAAAATAAGAAAGTTGATGTTACTTCCAGTCAGACCGGAAGTAAACTTTGCCGTGTCAATATGCTTAAATACTAGCTCTTGTGTCATTCAATCGATGCTACAAATTTCACAAGCCTACCTCATACATTAACTGAGATATTCGGTAGATAATTACTTCCGTATCTTCCGTAGCCACCCAATTGGAAAGAAATGAAATTCAGATATTGGAACCCCTTCAAAGGTGTGAGTTATTGGAAAAACTAGTAACGAGTGATTTGATTATATTTTTATCATTTCAGCTACAGAAAGATATGGATTCACAAAAAAGTAATATGTTGACATTTTCATTGTGATGAAATAAGTTTGTTTCGATGTTAATAATACCACAATTGCGAGAAGACTGCTTTATTTTCGATTTCTTAGAATACATAAAAAACCTAGACACACACCTGTGTTGTGGAAGCGTTGGTGCTGAATGTTTACATTTATACGACATACATGACAAAGTTAATGAGAAAAATATACATATGAGCAGATGAGACACCAATATGATATTAGATTATTGAAAAATTATTTGAAATAATGATTTGAAACACACTTCGGGAAAAAAGAAAGCGTTGTATTCAATGTAGGAAAAAATATTTCAGAGTACCGTAAAGTGGGGTTACTTTGTCCAGCTCGATAACTTTGACCCATAAGTCATGAAAAAATTCAAACTTTTCTAGTATTCTACTATTACACAACATAGCCGAACTTTCGCTATTCTTATGTAGAGGGTGCTCCTATGGAATAAATTGATCACATGAAACTTCAAAATAATAATTACTTAGAAGTTGGCAACATTGGTTTGGTTTGATCTGCAAACTTTCGTTAAGAAAACAAGTTGTGATAAGTTTGAAAATCTGGTGAGTGTTTATTTATAACCCAAATTGAGTTAATAAGAGGGTGCATTAATGCTTTGGATACTAATTTGTCAATTGAAATATTAAAGTGGAGAATTTTGAAATGACACAATATGTTAGCAGTTTTGGAGCAACTTTGCACCATAAGTCAATGTTGTCCATAGGGCCAAAGTTGCCCATAATTTTATAATGACGTTATTCCGGCTATCTGAACGCTTTTTTCTCTCTTTTTTCCAAGATACCCACTCCAGTCATGCCACGACATCACATGAGGCAACCTGGTAGTCGCAGATATGTGGATTATACTCCAGAAACTTTGGAACGATATTTAAATGATGTGAGAACAGGACATAAATCTCAAAGAGTGGCTTCTACCTACTATGAAATACCTAGGAGTACAATAAAAATTAAACTGAAAGGTCGTTTCAGTAAAAAACCCGGATGACAGTTGGTATTTTCACCAGCTGAAGAAATTGTAGTAGCTGCACATGTGAAAAAACTTTCCGAGTTTGGATTCCCAATTTCAGAATTTGAGTTGCGTCACATAATGAAAACGTTTCTCGATAGGCAAGGTCGTAGAATCAAACAATTCCAAGAGAATGACAACTTGCCTGGTTACGAGTGGTGTAAATTGTTTCTCAAAGGACATCCAGATCCCGGGTATGCAGCAATATTGAAAGGGAGCGGGCAGCCATCGATGAGGCCACAGTTGATTTTTATTTTCAAAATTTAACAAGAAGTGTTGAAGGTATGTCTGGAGAAAACATTTGGAATTATGATGAAACTAATCTCACTGACGATCCAGGTGTTTCCAAAGTAATTTGCAAAAAGGGCAGTAAGTATGTTGAGCGCATAATGAATTCATCAAAATCTTCCACATCTTTGATGTTATGTGGAAATGCCACGGGAGAATTGATGCCAATGTATGTTGTGTATAAGGCAGATCATTTGTGGACCACTTGGACTGAAGGTGGTCCAAAGAGTTGTAGATATAATAGATACAAGAGTGGCTGGTTTGATGCTGGCATTTTCGAAGACTGGTTTTTCTCTACAGTATTGCCTCGACTTAAGAAGCAAGATGGCTACAAGGTTCTCATTGGAGATAATTTATCTTCACATATAAATGTTGAAGTCATTAAAGCTTTCGAAGAAAATCAGATCCGGTTCGTCTGCCTTCCTCTTCATTCCACGCACCTCACGCAACCCCTCGATGTCGCATATTTTCATCCAATGAAAATAGCTTGGAGACAAATAATTCGAAATTGGAAACAAACTTCTGAAGGTCAAAAGTTTGGCACTGTACAAAAAGACCATTTTGCTAAATTACTGCAACAACTTCAAGCTGATGTTTTGGAAGCAAAAGGTGTTAACTTGATTTCAGGCTTCAAAAAATGTGGCATTGTTCCACTTGACAAAAATCAATTGATGAGTAGGCTTCCCAAGCCGGATGCAGATCCGGAAGTCATTAGTGAGGCATTCATGCAAACATTGATCCAAAAAGGATCATCGATAGCAAAACCAGCTAGTGAAAGAAAAACGAAGGAAAAAATTAAATGTTGAACCTGGAAAGAGTATTTCTGTTGATGATCTGGTAGTCCTTAAATCAACTGAAAATGTAAAACCATCCGCATCGAGAAAACGTGGTCGTCCGAAAAAAAGATGCTGTCTCGTCTGATTCCGATGTCAGTGAAGAACATTTCAGTGTTCATGAAGACAGCGCAGACGATGATGACTCAAATATATCTGGTCTGGCGGAAGACGATGAATTGATGAATCCTGATGAAGCTCTAAACCGAACATTTCCAAGTCATTCTTCACTTCCAACTAATGCATGCTTCTTAAGTGAAACCTTGAAAGAAGGTAGCTTTGTAATTGTAGCATACAATAACAAATCCCGGTCAGATTATAAAGTTGCCACAACAAGGAGAACTATGTCCAATTGTGAAATGTATGGAAAAAGGAAGGAAGTATTGGAAATGGCCTGCAAGAGAAGATATCCTCCTTTATGAATGGAAAGCTATCAAGAACGAAATAAGACGTCCAAAAGCATTGCAAAGAGATTTTTTCTCTGTGTCAGAATTGGACAGTGATATGCAAATCTGACTCAAATTTGTTCTCATTTTCAACCCAATTAAATGTTTTTTTTTAAATTTTGTTCAATATCCCAAAGTCTATGCTTTACTATTTGTAAATTAGGTAGAAAATAAAATAAAATAGTTCATGAACTCTCAAAAAGGAAAATTATATTCTTTAACCGCGATGTTGAAGATATGTTTCTCAGAAATATCCAATCCATATATATGTTGGAGTCATAATAGGACAGTGGCATTGTCCAACTTCAGCCCAAATATAGAATACCTTTCATTTTCCAGGCAAATGAAGTTGTGTATCAAAGTAACCCCAGGTTGAGGCAAGTTTGGCCCAATTTTTGTTTTTTAAAAAAAAAAGTATTTTGGCATTTTCAATAAATTCATTATTATTCCTAGGAGTTAATTGAAGCCTGAGAGGTTTGTAAAAAATGAGTGCTGTATTATTAGAAAAAAAAACAGTGAACTTATACATCATTGAAATTTCATCAACAGAAACTCGGGACAAAGTAACCTCAGTTTACGGTATGTGTAATTTTTTGTTAAGACGAACAAAAAATATCGATTAGATAATTGAAAATTTTCCGAACAATTCAACATAAAAGAGATTTCTGCGACGAATTTGTTTGCTTGAAGGGTATGTGAAATACATTGTTTTTCTTGAATGCCGACCAGGAACATTAATTTGAATTTAATTCAATACGTTAGGGTTGTCTATGGTGTTGTTCGTGATTTTATGTAATAGCAATATATTCGAGACCTCTCTTCCAGTTGATAGGGATATCAGCCTGAAAGATTTTGTGACCTTATCGAGTTCATCATTGTAGTGATCACTAAAAACTAATAATTATAATAATCCGATAATACAAAAGTAGTTGTTTACAGCTGATTCTCGGCCTCCCCCCACCACTATGACGTATTAATTGCTTTTTTTATTGGTTGTTGTTTGGTGAAGTTTTTTTGTTGTGCAGTGAAGTCAAGGCATTGTGACCTTGAAGTGTCTGGTGCATGGATCGTTCAGATTTTTTTTTTCATATGAGATTTTGTGTGTTTATGTGTGTGTGTAGGAGAATGCACGGTACAGGGTTTCATCATGTGCTTGTTTGAGAATATTAAGTTATATTCATTTTTGAATACGTTTATTTTTTATTAGAGTTTATGTTTGTTGAGTTTTTCATATTTATTTTGTTTATTTTTGAAGTAGATCTGAAAAACCAACTAACTGAGCGTACGCAAAAAATCCTACACACAATATATAGACAAATCCGAGAGAGCTGTCAAATCTGATCCCTCAGAGTTTTGGTCATTTATTCAAAGTGAAAAAGGGTCATCTAGGATTGCTTGAATACTTTAAGGCGGGTCCAGACATGTATCATTTGCCCGATCCGGTCACCGTATCCGTATCGTCGACGCGTATCATGATCGCATATGTGGACGGGTAATGAAGCTCTGATTGGTCGCAGGATCCAAAATTGCCAGAATGAACCTCCATAAGAAAATACATGGGGTTTTGATTTGGAAGCCCTGCTGTATATATACTCCTATCAATACTTTTTATCCACTCTGTAACTGTTAGTTGTAACGCTGTTTCGCATGAGTAATTCTTACGAAAACCAGACTAATTTTTGATAAATGAATCATTCTCATTTTCGTTCTCGAAGAAATATGGACCGATGACGCCGCAAGCCTAAAATCCATACAAAACAGTGACTTTTCCGGAATTCATTGGACGCTTCTGGATCTCATATGGATTGGTGTTGTCCCAAATTCGACAATTCATCCAGAAAGGGGCCTCATTGCTGAAGATGATTTTTCAGGTCAGCTGTCTATGGTAGTTTATCTTCAGTAAACTTCAGTCCTTCAGATCGTTCACAGCAAATTTTTGTGGATGCGAAGACACAAAGATCTATGGATATTTTTTATCAGAACAAATAATCACGTCCAAGCGTAAACCCGTCGTTGACCACCGTTTGAGTGCGCCTGATTGATTCTGTGGTAATTAACCCATATAATTATCAATCAGTTCACTGGCCGTGTTCAATTAGTAACCCGATTATCGCAAACTGACAGTTTCCTATCAGTATACAGGGTGATTACCCTCCAAGAGTATGNCTTCGAAGTATGCAGACGTATGTTTGTACATAGACAAACAAGCACATGATGAAACCCTGTACCGTGCATTCTCCTACACACACACATAAACACACAAAATCTCATATGAAAAAAAAATCTGAACGATCCATGCACCAGACACTTCAAGGTCACAACGCCTTGACTTCACTGCACAACAAAAAAAACTTCACCAAACAACAACCAATAAAAAAAGCAATTAATACGTCATAGTGGTGGGGGGAGGCCGAGAATCAGCTGTAAACAACTACTTACAAATAATATATTATTATGAATACCTATATTAACCGTTTTTAATTTCCTTATGTCTATAAGCAAAAAAACTATGACATGGTATTCGTCTTGTCGCAAAACCCTCAAACCAAAATTTGGTTTTGATCAAAACAATATTGACTCCTTTCGGTAAGGAAGTGCATAAATTGTTCTTTAATCTTAGAATCCCAATATTACTTAATCATACCTAGAATTATTATATTATATTCGTCATGAGGAATGTTAACGCTCCCTATGATTGTCCACGCCACTGGCACCCCTCATCAATTTGACCGTCCAAGCAGCGAGCTATATACCTCTCGCCCCTTCTTCCAGGAATGGCAACAGGCGAGCATCGGTCATCGTGTTTGTAGTTAAAAAATGTATTTCACTTCGCCTTGAACAGTTTGTAGTGCGCCCGGAAATCCATCGCGGATTTCGGACATAATTGGAAAGTGGCAACCCTGCTCGGTCGAAGTAGATCGATGCGATGAGGACAAAGTGGCAGTTGTTCGCTAGTCTGCGACCGCGATTGATGTGTTTGTTGCTAGTAGTTTTATTATTGTGAAATCTATCATTTTTATAAAGTCGTATCAGTGGTGTATGTATTGCATTTATGTTTCAATAGAAACCTCCATATTCAAGTGTTTCATTCTTTCATCAATGTGCTGGCCCACCGAATCACGAGATAAGAGTGAACGTTGCATTTGGCACCCTAACGTGAGGCAGCATAGAGGCGATAAAAGGTGGAATTTGATGTTAGATAAATATTGAAAAAAATTTTTGTGAAGCAAGGAAACTATTTGGGAAAATATTCCTGGATCCCGCCAATACGACAAAGTGAGGTTGGTTGAGTTTAAGGAGCGTAGCAGAAGTCAACGCCGGAACGACGCAGGGAGTGAGACCAAAGACACATGAGTGAGGAAGATAACAGATCTCCAGAAGGCAAAGTCGGCTGTCTGGGTTAAATAAACCAGATCAAGGACAAACGATCAGCAAGGTGAGAGGGGAAAGAAAACGGTGACAGACTGAGGAAATACAAGGTAGGAGTTGAACTTTGATTTTATTTCGAACGAAGTGGATCATAGACATTGACGGAAAAAACCGGTTCAGATTGTACTGTACAGAATCATTAAATAACAATTGTATTAGTATGTTCGATTCTGATAGTTTTAGATTTGGTGAATGGTGAAAGATAGTATTGTAGACATAAAAATAACGAATTGATATATTTTTCGGATATTGTAAAAGTTGAAAATGCCGAAAAATAAAGCAGATAATCAACAAGAGGTTATTAGTAAAGACAATGAGTTGTGTTCACTTGTAAATTCACTGTGTGAGGACCTGAAAAAAGTGCAATCTAGTATTGTGGCACTAACTAATAATATGCATGAACATGAAAAGAAATTACAAGATTCTGAAAATACTCAAGCAAATATTAGTAATAAAACTGATAGACAATTTGTATCAGTATGGAAAGATTTAGGAGGTCAGTCGTTGAATTTTTACCCTGGTGGTAATACCCATCCAGTGTTTTTTGTAAAATAATTAAAAAGACTAATGAATGACGCATTTGTACCAGAGGCAGCTCGGCTGGGGCTTGCAATTAGTTGTTCGAAGGATTCGGCGGCCGAATGGGCAGAAATAAAAAAAGGATTCTTTTGAAAATTTTCAATCATTTGTAGACAATTTTATGGCTCGTTACTGGGGGGTAGAAGAAGAAAGGTCTCTCTTTTACGAAATTAGATACGGTAAGTTTAATGGGGGTAGTCGCGCTGATTATTTTTTGAGATTAGTGAAACAATCGAGTTTCCTTTCAGAAAAAATTCTAGAAAGTAAGTTGATAGAATATTTATGTCAACATTTTTCGGATGAACCTAAAGAAAAAAATCAACTATTAGCATTACTTCTAGAATATCGTGAGGTGTTTTCGGAAACCCCAGGATGTACACAAGTTACGAACATGAGATCGTTTTGCGGGACAATACTCCTTTTTTTCAGAAAGCAGTATGCAATACCGTTTTCCCAACGACGATGAATTATTGAACAAAATCGGGAAGTGTCAGATTATGATTAGTCTAGATATGACTG